GAGCTCAGATTCTGTTCATAATCTGTACTATATAGGGCTTGCTGATTCTCATGTGACTGCTTCAAGCTCACACTGTCACCACCTAAACTGGCAGTCATACTGCTCTTTTTTATACATGTTCTGTCATCAGGTCTACTTGGTCTCAGCTCAGTTGAAGTTATTCTGTTCTTCTGCTGCATGTATTTCTTCTTCTATAAAATCTCTCACATCTCTTTCTATTGCATCTGTGACTGTTGGTCTCCAAAAGTCTTCTCTCTTGCTTCCATGATTCATGCCCCTGTGTCAGGAGAGTGTCAGGCTTGACTCTGGGGTTGCATAGAGTGAGTCATATCTGGAGTCTGCAGGCAAAACAGATCAGATTCTTGGAGCTATTTTAAGGGCATCAAAGGAGTCCTGAGTATGGTTTCTAATGCCATGCTCAATTGGGGCAGTAAAACAGTCAGGAGACAGTTCATTATCAAAGAAGTCATCAGAGAGATTCTTATCCTCATAGTCTGAGATCAGAGATGGGACTCATATATTCCTGAACTCTGTGAGATGATTGTTTTGGTTTCTGCTGTTAGGTCTGACTGATTTTAGAGGATATTAGTGTTCTTTCTCTTCTTCCTGAGTGCTCCATGAATGTGCTCTCTCAGGCTCAATTTAGAGTATGAGTCTGAGCAGAGGCTGGAAGGAGACTTGGGTAAAGAGAGGGATGTTGTGAAAGGGGAGTATTAAGCCCAAATTCCATGTGACTAGAAACACGTGATAAACTGACAGAACCTCGCACTTCGGGTTATACTGTCAGAGTCCACTTGTGTGTGACTAGTGTTGTGTTGTCAAGGCATTGCAGTTCGCTCGAGATAAGATGGTGAAGTAAAACTTTAGTTCGAGACTGGGGTTTTTACAGCGAGAACTAAGCTACTTAAATACTGTTCTGTTATCATGCTATAAATAATTGTTTCACAAAAGATATTGTCTGTCATAGAGCTGTTACCCCTGCTGTTGCCAGGCTCTCCACAAAAGCTGTTGTGTTGCTGTTGCTGCACTGCAATTTAGGAATAAAAAGAGCATTGTCTCTCCCTTCACAGCACACAGTACCATGGTAGGAGGGTGACCAACTTGGATGCTGAGCTAAGCGTTCCCACAGTCTTAAGTGCCCTGACTAAGCAATGATAGAGGTCATTTCCAAGAAAAAGAATAAGAAAAGAAAGAAAATAGAGAGAAAATAGGAAAAATTATAACAGGGAGGTCAGATGTGATATTGCAAAGAATTTGTTGTATCTGTTGAAAAGCTTGGTAGTGCCTGACTATCTATGCTGCTACTGATTGTCATCCTCAACAAAGTTGTATGATTGCTAGTAAGTCTAGAAGTGTTTTAATGATAGAAACTAAAAGCTTAAAAAAGTCATGAGTAAGATCAAAGGTTGTAGTCTGAGAAGGTGGCATTCAGTTTTCTTTATACTTATTATGCATAAAGAAAGAGAAGCAAAAGCTTCAAGCTAATTGTTAGATCTAAGTTGCATGTGATCAAAACACATAATAAACAGATGCTGTATTATATTTGTACAATTATGCCTGAGTCCACTTGTTGTGTTTTTATTGACCAGTATGTGTCAAGGCTATTTGACAAGAGACTCAAGATGAAATAGTGTGAATAAACTTTAGCTTGAAGCTGGGGTTATACCAGTGAGAGTGAGCCTACTTATATACTACTATTCTGTTGAGATAAATATACTGCTGTCAATTGTACTTGTCTAAATCTTTGTGTCTATTGTTCTTAGATATCACTATTATCTACAAAAAGGTTGTTGTGCATCATCAAAGGCTGTTGTCACATCAGAAGACAATGATAAACATGACTTGTTGTGATAACTAAGTCTGTCCCATGGTCTTAAGCACTGGTCTAAGCACTCTGACTAAGCATAAATAGGAGTCAAAGCAAAGAAAAAAGTGAAAAATCATAACACTGATATCTTACAAGAAATCTGAAATCTATTATATAGTGAGATTGAGCTTTTGTAGCCTAATTCCTTCAGATCTGGATATATACTAATGCCATGACTCAGAATAAAATGTATATCTTATACTATTGCATCTCTAATTTCAGATGAATTATGGTATCACTCTATAGAGTTATATGGTAATGCCAATAATCTAGCATGCTGTTTTGCATACTATGCACTGATATAAAACTCTGGATTTTATAACAGTGAGGCAGATATAGTGAGTTCTCCATGTTCTGACTCAGTATCTGTAATGATAAAAGTCTCCTGATTCAGGCAGAATACTCTGAAACAGTAGGAGCTTACTGCACTCCAGTATAACTCATCACTAGGGTAAGGTGCATTATAGTTCAAGCTTATTTCAGCAGCATGTTGATATAGATTGCTAATTGTATTAGATCACCACTTTGAATCCATCTCCTGCCACAGTATGAAGTTGGTATAGTCTGTCTCAGAATACCCATAGACATCTTTAGCATTATCAGCCCAGCAATACATAGGTTCATCATTACAATCTCTTGTACAGGCATTTTTTTCAGACCATAAATGAGCAAAGTTCTTAATCTCAGGCACTGGTAAGGCTTCATTACATTCAATACTTCTGAAATCACAGATAAATGTCTCTAAGTCATCTAATTTTAGTTTGACAGAATTATCAGAGCTAAAACCTGAAGATGTGATATTATTTTCAGATTCAATAGGTGATGTGTAGAGCTTAGTAAGCACTCACAAAGTCCACTCACCATCAGTTTCTGAAACAGATTCAAGGTTTGGAATGTCTTTATTGAATAGATTATCATTCTGAGACTGATTGTCTTGTTCAGTAGACATGAACATCATTCCAATTGAAATATAATCAACTGTTTCAGTTGTCTCTGCTAAATTTTGAAGCTGGTGATTATCTATCAAGTCATAATGTATACCATATGCTGAGAAGCCTAGTGGCTCTGTTTTGTTACTTGACTTCACTGTGTTATTGTGAGGACAATTTCTAGCTATATGTCCTACTTCTTCACATCTAAAGCACTTATTTGCAGTGACAAGTTCTATCTTCTTGCTTTCTGATAGTTTATTTCCAAAGCTAGAATTTGTAGTAGGCTTGCTTCCACTATTACATCCTCTATTTGATGGCTTATTACCTCTGAAAGATGACAAGGGTTGATTATAGCTCAATGACTGACTATATGAGTTAGATCCTCTCTTGTGGAGTCTATTCTTCTCATAAGAATATCCTTTTGAATGACTGTTATCAGACTTATATTTCTTAGATATATGCCCACTATTTTCATGGTTATTGCTGTTTTCAGAACCTCCCTGTGATGGCTTCTTTTTCTTAGTACTATAAAGTGTAGACTCAAGGTCAGCCATTTCAATGAGTTCAGCCTCTTTGACAATACAGTATCAGCTATAAACCTTCTTATTGAGCTTTGCTTGGTAAAGTTCATGCTGCATCTCTCTACAGAATCCATCCTAAAGCTTGATAATATACTCACACTTGCTAGTCATACTAATAAGACCATATAAAGTTTTCAGCTCATAAACATATTCTGAAATGGTGTGATTATTCTAGTAGCACTTCTTTATTTTATCCTGTTGCTGACTTTGATAATTTAAAGAGAAGTATGAATTAAAGATTTCTTATAAAAAGTCTATCAATGTCTATTCTGCATGGTTCTTTAAAACTTTCTGAATGAAAAATGATAATGCCTTTCTCTTCAGATAATGTGATGCCAGAAATACCTGTTCATTCTTTGGAATCTAACTTTCTTTGTAGAATTGGATCAATTCCATTGTGAAATAATGGAATTTTTCACCATCAGCTGTATTGTCATATGATGTAGGAGATATTAGTTAAATTAATCTTTTGCAGTGATGTTTTTGACTTCTATACTTATGTCAATGGGAACTATACCTTCTAGTATGACAATGATAGTGTTAATGTCTATGATTGGATGGCTCAAAGCTATCTGATGCATCTAACTCATCACTTGCATCACTGCTACTTGAGCTTGATGAGCTTGAACCAGTGCTTGAGGAACCATCATCTGATAGAGAAGATTCTGAATAATTAGAATCTGAATCTGAGTCAGACTTATTACTGGGAGTAGACTCTGATGATTCAGAGCTAGAGAAACTAGCATAATGCTTATGCTTCTATTTCTCAAGCTTTTTCTTATTGAGTTTCTTCTTACACTCAGATGAGATCTTCTGCTTTTTTGATTTGCCAACATCTAACATATTGGCCAAAAAGCTATCAGAGGGTAGCTGATCCACAGAATGAGTAGACTCATGTCAGCTGCCATGACAGGTATTTGAAGATGCTTTCAAGTGTTTTTGTATGATGTTTCTCATTCTATGATTGGTCAATGATCTGACAGTCTTTTGTTCCAAAGATTTTGCACTTGTCTTAGAGAGTGTCTTTTTTGGTTGAGACTCTGTCTCCAAATCTGACTCAGAACCTTTGTCTCATGTTTCTTCTATTTCAAGAGCATTATAGCAGCCTATTTTGTGAACCTTTGTCTTTGGTTTTAATTTCTGAGGTCTTTCTTTTTGTTTGTTATGCTTAAAAGACTTTCTGACAGTCATAAAACCATCTTCAACCTCTGGGTATGCCTCCAAATGAGATACATCACCTTCAAAGACTTCTTGATTGATATCTTGAGCCTAATTCTATGTTTCAAGAGTCTCATGTTGTGCCTCAACATCTAATTCAGTGTCATCAGTCTCCTGATTGCAGTTGACAAATTTTCCTTTAGCAATGTAAGAGCTGGCTGGATCTAGGTGTAGCCATTGGAGTCTGAGATACAGTAGGTTGCTCTTGGCTCTTGTTTTCTGTCAGCTTGTTCTGACATTTGGCAAGTATTTTCTGCTATGCAGTTGTCAAATTCCATTTGACTGCATCAATAGTAGAAAGCTGTTCCTTTGTGAGCTTTCTTTCTTTGTGTAGTCTTCCAAAATAAACTTCACATTTCCCCAGGTCATCAAGACTCTGAGTACAGCAAAGCCTCACAGGCCTTACCATTCTATTGTATTCTTCTGCATCTGTACTATGGAATGCTTTTTCGAAGGTAGAAAATATAGATGATTCATAATCATAATCATTATCTATATCACTACAGGATGAATTATTATCTGAAACTTCTGTGGTTGGATTTCTCTTGAAACTAACATTCTCCAATTTCTCTGAGTGATTTAAATCCTCTTCCTCTGCTTGTGCACAGGCAAGAGGAAGGTTTCTCAGCACTGTAAAACCAGACACTGGAACATGGTTTACAGCCAGAACAGAGGTAGCATCCTGAGCACTCACAGTGCTAGAATCTGCCACATTTTTAGTATCAAAGTCTGTTGGTGACAACTCACCTGATAACTGAGATAAAGGACTGTCTATCTCTAGTGTAGCTGATACAACAGTGGTGTTGTGATGGCTGCACAAAGGGTAATATGACATTCTAAGAAACCAAGAAGTAGAGAGAAAATTAGATATTAGTGTTGAAGTTGGAATGTCCTCAGGTGATCAAGCTATAGGAGATCCAGATATCAACAAAGAGAGATATAGAGAGTTTAGAGAGAAAAGTACAGATGAGAGAGAGAAAAAGATAAAAGCAAAGATTAAGCCAATGGAGCTGTCAAAAATATGAGAGGGTGGCAAAAGTCACTTCTCTCATGAAAGGCTCATGCAGTCACTGACAGGCATAAAGACCTGGTTGATTGCAGAAACCTCCTGCTACAATACATGTACTGGCTTATATATATAGTAGAAATAACAAATATAGGCTAAACCAGGGAGATGAGAGAAAGAGGGAAAAACATCAGATAAAAGTATTGGGCTGTGGAATGACTTGTAACAAGCCCCAACATAGTAACCATCTGGCTCTCTTAAATTGACATCACTAGATGCTACTGTCAGCACAATGACTAAGTATCTATGGGTTATCAGAGAGCAGATTCTTGGAAAAAGCTATGTGGTATGTGGTATGGATTTATGGCATTAATTTCTCTGTGAATGAGGTCAATGGATCCAAAAATCTATGGGGTATGGGAGACTATGGGTTATTGGAGGTATGGATTATTGGAGAGTTGACTGTACATCACCTTTACCCTACTCTCCAGCCAGCTCTGCTTAGGAGTCATACTCTAATGCACTTTTCATCATACCTTTCTAGCTTGCCACTTGAGAGAACAAGTTGAAGGATCTCCAATTTGCTGGGCTCTGAACTGACTACAAGAATCTCTCTTTGATAAAAACTATATAGGTCCCAGTCAGACTTACCAGTGGAAATTTTGATCATCTTCTTCAAAGAGGTGTTTTTAGGACCTGTATACACATCTAAACAATCTTCCTGGGAAAAGGATAATATCTTTCCTCTGTATAACTCTTGTTAATTCTCTGCTAGTGACATACAATGCCCAAGTTATAGAACCATATCTGCTCTCTGACATTACCATCACTTCTATTCACCCTTCTGTCCAGCCTCTCCTTTATCAATAAGCATTTCTGCATCACATGAACTGCTGGAGGACTTCTATGCCAATGAAAGTTGAGGGTTATGAGGATCCTCTGTGGCCAGAGCCAGAATCTCATTCTTCAAAATCATTTCTTGGAGATGGTCATGAGTTCTCATGCTTGTTATTGGACTCTAGAAGTCTGAGGCAGATTTGTTTGGATGTTCAACTTACCCTTTTCTCAAATTGATACTGATGACTTGTAGGATTTTCATTCCTTGTAGAGAATGGCATCAAGGCAATTAAGGCAACTGGCATGATGATTGTCATTGATTGGCAAAGTTTTGGACAGTAGGAGTGGAAAGTTGAATTGACAAAGCACTGTAATAGCTATGACTAAATCCAACCAAGGCAAAAGTAATTATCAAAGTATATCTGCAGCATAAAGGGGTGCAGTTACTGACTGATAACTAGGTATGTGAGTTTTATTCAGGAAGTTGAAGTGAAGCACTGCAGCTATTTGGAGACTGATGGTGAAGACATGATTGTCTATCCATGAGTTTGGATTTTATGATTGTTTCTAGGTTCTTTTCTTTGAGCTATCTTTTTAGAATAGTTTATACCCATGGCTATACAAATTTCTCTTGATGATCATCCCTCTTATATAGTGATAGTCTGTCTAGACAAGAGCAATGGCTTATATGCAAGAAATCCTTACACAACTCATATTCAAGCATGCTCTCTGCATTTGACTTGATTTAGAAAGTCAGAAAATAGCTAAGTCAAATATTATAGTCTTGTTTGATCAGCCAGACTCAGAATTATTATTCTTATCATTCTCTGAGAGGGAGCAAACTCTGAAGCTGAATAAGCAGTTATCACTGTCTGAATGAAGTCTGAGTATTAGACCAGCTGAGTTTTTCTCAGATATTCTTGTTGACCTATCAGGTCAGTTAGCAGTTGTCAGTTGCTATCAAGAGAAGCTCAAGATCTTGATGCTTGAGAATAGATCTTATATAAAAGACATTGATATCTCATGTGTATTTAAGAATTCTTGTTAGTGTTCATTTGCTTACTTGATATTAGAGGATATCTATATATTTCATCTTATCTTACTTTTCAATCACTTATTCTATTTGTTGTAAGTATAGAGGAGTGTTAGACCCAAGCATCACATGAGCTATAACATGTGATAAACAGAAGCTCCCTCACACTTCAGGAAGTTGACTGAGTTCACTGATATGCTATTCACTTGATGTGTCACAAGGCCTTAAGACTGACTTAAGAGTAAAATAGTGTGAATAAACTTTAGCTTGAAGCTGGGGATTTACCAGTGAGAGTGAGCATTCTTAAATACTGTACATGTCATGGCTAATAATACTACTGCTAATTGTGTGTTGTTGAGTTCTTTGTGCTTCTTGTCCTTGAGTGTCATTACTGTATATAAAAGAATGATTGTGCATTGTCAGTAGCATTGTCACATCAAAAGACAATGACAGACTTGGCTAGTTATGCTGACTAAGCCCTATCCCATGATCTTAAGTGCTTTGGTTGACACCCTGACTAAGCATAAATAGAGGTCAATCACACGATTGAAAAGAAAAAGGTAAGAAAATTATAACATTATCTCCTTCTTAAGACTATCGTTCTGATAGCTTAATTTAGGGATGATTCATAGTCCTGAATAGCATCATCGGTGTTTATGCATTTTTTGTTGATCTACTGATTGGACTCAGGTCTGTAACCTTTCCAACTGACTAGATAATCCACTGTTGTTGTCATCCTCCTCTCTTTCATCTGTACTTTTTAAAGTTTATAATTTAAGATCTGATCAATTTCATAGTGTTCTTTATCATCAATCAGGTCAGGAGGCAGCAGTGGCAGTTGTTCTTGATTTGGGAATGCTGGCATGATATAGGGTGTTAGGAGAGATTCATTGAAGACATTATGAATCTTCCAGTTCTTTGGTAACTGCAATTTATATGTAGAGTTATCAATTTTTGAGAGGATAATAAAGGGCCCTGTTTATTTGTCATCAAGTTTGTATTTAGGGTGTGATAGGTGGAGATTTGTTGTGTCTAGCTATACCTTATCATTGTATGAATAGATATAAGCCACATGGTGGTGTTTGTCATAATATTTTTTCATAGAGGCAGCAGCCTTTTTGAGAGCTGCTTTAGTTTCATCATGGATTGTTGCTATCATAGTGGTAAAGTCAGAGGATGCTGGCATAGAGGTGTGGGTCTATTTGGTTTGAGTGATATAAGAATATCTTCCATGGTTGATGAAGAAAGAGGTCTTTCCTGTTGCAGAGTATATATAATTATTGTGTTGGAATGCAGTGAGTGCAAGCCACTCTGTCCAGTCATCTTGTTGATAGTTGATGAATAGTGAGAGATATTTTTCAATCTTCTGATTGATGTGTTCTGTCTGCCTATCTGTCTGAGGATGATATACAGTCAAGGTGTTTCATTTGATGTTTAATAGGCAATAAAGATTGTTCAAGAATTTAGAGATGAATTGTGGGCTGTGGTTGGAGATAATGATTTAAGGCATGCTGTGTTTAGTGTATACCTTGTTGCAAAGGATTTTTGCCCATCCCTCAGATGTTAATTCCATGAAGCAGACTATAGGTATAATAGCCTTTGAGAATCAATCAACTATGACAATGATGGCATTATAGCCATTACAGTCCAGCAGCCTAGTTACCATGTCCACTGAAATGTGGGTCTATAGTGATGATGGTACTTCATTCAGATGGAGCAGTGCTGCTTGCAGTTGGGTAGAGGACTTGCTGCATTGACATACTTTGCATGCCTTAATATACTTAGTAATGTCTTTGCCCATCTTAGGCCATCAGTATTCTTATAAGACCAATTCCTTTGTCTTAGAGATCTCTAAGTGGCCTGCTGTTGCATGATCATAACAGGTAGTGATGATTTTACTATGTAGTGTCTGATTGTATGATATATAGATTCAGTTATCATACTGAATCATCTCTTCCTCCTTTATCATTCCACATTCATGGTTCAGGGATAGAGCTATCTGCTGATTCCACTGACTCATGTTTCTAGTTGTGCTTTTGATCTTTTTGTGGATCTCTTCTTCTGTTGGCATGATCATAGCCCTGAAATGTTCTGGGCAGATCAATACTATCCCTTTATTGTCATGCTCCCTCTGATTGTGGTCAGCTCATTGACTTAGTAAGTCTGCCTTCTTGTTGGTGGTTTCTGCTTTATGATAAAGAGTATATAGATACTGACTGAGCTCAGTGACTCATTGTGCTTGTTGTCAATTGAGTTTTTGGAGTTGTCAGAAATATCAAAGGTTTTGATGATTCATCCAGATTTCAAAGGTTTGAGTCACCTCAATCAGATAATGCCATCATTCCTCTAATACCAATATGATTGCCAGTAGCTCTTTGTCATAGATTTCATAGTTCTGCTTGATGATGGTTAGGGCTTTTAACAAGAAGGCTACTGGCCTCTATTTCCTGTCCTGTCCCTGTGAGAAGACTACACCAATGGCTCTCTCACTCAAGTCAGCCTCAACTTGGAATCTCTCTTCTTATATTGAGATTGCCAGTATCATGTTCTCTGTAAGTCATTTCTTTAGATTATCAAAGACTGTCTGCTGAGATGGGCCCTATGCTCAGGGAGCATTTTCTGTCAGCTGGGTCATTAGTTGGATGACTTTACTATAGTCCTAGATAAAGCATCAGTAGAAATTAGTGAACCCCAGGAATGATTGAAGCTCTTTCTTTTTTCTTAGTTCTGGCCATTCCACCATCTCAGCCACCTTGATTGGGTCTATACAGATACTCTCTTTGCTGATTATCACTCTGAGATATTTGGTTTGTAGTACCTTGAAGTTGCACTTTTCTGCTTTGAGAAAAAGTTTGTGCTTCCTCATTAAGGCTAACACTTGTCATACTAGCCTTTCATATTCCTTCTTTGTCTTTGATATGATTAGGATGTTGTTCAGATAAATTGTGATCTTCTCAGTGGCAATGAGATCCTTGAATATATCATTCATTATCCACTGAAAGGTGGCTGGTGAGTTAGTGAGGCTGAAAAGCATCACTATGAGTTTGAACAGCTCTTGGTTCATTCAGAATATGGTCTTTCACTCATCACCCTCCTTGATCTGTACATTATTATATCTCTACCAGACATCAAGCTTGATATAATACTTGGCTCTCTGGAGCTTATCCATCAGTTCTGAAATTAATAGAAGAGAATATCGATTTTTGATGGTCATCTCATTAAGCTTTTGATAGTCTTGGATGGGTCGAAGCTTTCCATTCTTCTTTTTGATGAAAAAGAATGGAGATGCCATTGGTGACTTAGATAGTTGAATCCTTCCACTAGAAAGATTTTCATTCAGAAACATATCAAGTTTCTGTTGCTCGTTATTCTCTAAGGGATAAGTTTTGCAATCAAGGTTTGCATTGGCATTTGGGATTAGCTTGATGGCATGATCCCACAGTTTTGATTCAGGGAGCTTATTAAAGCTCTTTTTTTTGAAGAGGTCTCTGTAGTCCTGTGCTCATTCAGAGACTAACTTCTTGAATATCTTTTCCTCCTTCTTTGCATTTGCTTTGGCATGATGCATTGCCTGAATGCACATTTTTTCTTGAATATCAATGGCCAGAATAGTTTCTCCATTCTCCATCTTCTCATCCCATCAGTTCTCTGGATCTTCATCAGGCTATTTGAAGGGTAACTTTCAGCATTTGCACTGGACAAAAGTTATTTTGCTGGTTTTTCAGTTGATCAGTGAGTTGTACCTGATCAATCAGTCATGTTCTAGGAAGACTTCCTTGGTTCTGAGGTCCATCACAGCCAGATTGATTCTTTCTGAATGGTCTCTGATGGTCATTCTGAGTTTGATGAATTTAGTAATCAACCTAGTCTGGTTCTTTGTTCTGTCTACATTGTATACTGGGATTGGGGCTATGGTGGCCTAGGTTGGTAGTCTATGCTTGTCAATGAAGACATGGTTAATTGAGCTTTTGATGCATCCACTGTCTACTAGAATGGTGATAGCATGGGTGGCCTAGTTTGTAAGGGTCTCTATTTAGGCTTTAATGGTCAAATCTCATCCAGTAGTCTTGGTTCACCAGATAAAATATCTTGGCCCACATAATTTGTCAAGCCACTCAAGGGCTTGGCATCTCTCTGTCTTCCTGATCCCTTCAATCATTTCATCAATTATTTCTTCAGCTCAGGCCTTGTATACTCAGTTTTTGAGTATGGCTTTTGCCACTTCCTCAGTTGATGCTTCCTTGATGGCATGCCATGTCCACTTGGTGTTGA